TCCTAGTTTCACCTAGGACCTAGACAATAGTTTTACAGTGACAGCAGACAAAAGGGGAGAGGCCTTAATCTTAGCAATGCCGGTGTGGTAACGCATCACCCTCTCTTATGTTGATAAATTATCAGCCATTCTAAAACCACCCAGCCTAGGAAAAGAACAGGGAAATTCTAAGAAATGCTACTGAGCATCAAAAATCCAGACATTCTATAATTTGGTGGAGAGTTTCTGTTGGTGGGTTGTGGTTTTTTGTTTGTTTGGTGTTTTTAACTTGATGTTCATCAACTTGATGGGATCAGCTTGATGTTAGCTTTATTTGCACAGTCAATCCAGATTTCAATAGTATTAAATTACAGCAGCTTGCTGCTCATACAGCAGTTTCTTCAGATTATTAATCTGTAATATGGTAGCACTTTCGGTATCTCACTACATGGCTTATTGGTTTTAATTTCAGCTTCTAGATCCCGCTTATCTGCCTGAAAATGAGGTCTCTTTCTCTACTATGAGCATGGTGAGACACTGGAAGAAGTTGACCAGGGAAATTGTGGATGCTTTGTCACTGGAAGTGTTCAGGACCAGATAGGATGGGGCCTTGTGCAGTCTAGTGTAGCAGGTGTCCCTGCCCATGGCAGGGGGGTTGGAACTAGGTGATCTTTAAGGTTCCCTTCCAGCCCAAACCATTTGATGAGTCCATCTCTATCCTTATCTCTACTGTATAAAGTAGTCGGGGCATTCGTACCTTGCAAAAACACTACAGATACTGTTAGGTCTCAGGACCAGTATGTGATTCTTGTTACTTTGCGTTAAGCTGCAGTAATGATCAGCACAACCCTAGAGAAAGCAGATGGAGGGGGGGAAAAAGATAACTGAAATCACAACTTTGTGAAAAGGGTAGAGGAAAGGAGGGGAAAGTTAAGTTCAACCACTTACTATAGCTGCTGTGTTCCTTAAATGGCAGAAACATTACAGCAATGCAGAACCAGGTACCTGGGAACAAAATATACCAATACACACTCACGTTAGCCTCCAGAGACATGGATCTGGTGAGATTTGACCTTTACTTCCTGGTTGCAGGAAAACTCCTAGGAGTAGAGTAAGTCATGTTTCATGTCTGAGCTCTCTCCTGCCTTCTTTCCTTCATCTTCAAATGGTGCAGACAGACATCTATCCACAAATTTCAGCTTTTTTCTAAAAAGCATTAGTACCCACTTTGATCAAGTATTAAAAGGATTTTATTTCATTTTACAAATACAAAATAAAAAATGGAATTCAATTCTTTGCATACAAGCTTTTCAATAAGATCTGCAAACTCCCAGAAATATAGTCTGGGCTTCCTTTTGACCAACTCCAAGTAATCCAAGCCCTTCCCTGACACGTTTCAGAGAAACAGCTGGACACAGCCAGTACTTTTCATGATTGTACAGCGTATCAAACTGAACACTTGAACACTTAGCCCAAGAACTAAGGATGACTGAAAAAAAATCAAGTATTCTTCCTTAGCCTGGTCTCATTTCTCATACAGCCCAAAACAGGTATGTTAAGGTAATCAGAGACATAGCTTGTTCAAATGTAAACAAGCAGTAACTAATATTAAAATATTTAACATGCCTACAAACATGTGATTTGAAAGTGCAAGAAAAAAAAAAAAATAGTATGATTTTTTTTAATGTCTGGCCCAAGACAAAAGCTAAAAAACACATTTATACAGCATCTGGAGACAGCAAAAACTAGAGGACTTGCATTTACTATTGTGGCAGCTAGCAGCGAAGAGGGAAACTGAAAGAGCATGCAGCAAGTAAACTAAAAGGGAGGTATCACAGCCTGGAACCAACCACCTTCACGAGTTGCAGCAGTGTCACTGGGCATAAAAAACATACAGATGGTCTACTCTGTTTTTCTTTTAAACTTTGAAGCATTAATCACTTAACTCTCACTTCAAAGCACAGTTTAACTGGAAAGGAGTTAAGTTAAAAAGCAGATGCATTTGAGATCTTCAGGATCTACAGAAAACACTAGCTAGGAGTTACTCTCATAGCTGAAGTATTTAACTGTAGGGGAAAAAAACGAAAAAAAACAAAAAAAAACCCAAACAAAAAAACCCCACACAAACCCACAACTCAAGATAATGCAAGTTACCAAGAAAACACAGCAGACTGGCAAGTTATTTGCCCTGCTGTATTCCATAAAGCAGGGACCTGAGTCAGCAATATCTAACATGGCATCTTTCAAAGTCAATCCTCCAGTAAAGCACAGACTAAAGGCAAGTTTTGCTTAAGTTTTCTCTTTACTTCAGAATACAGTTTGAAGCACATAAACATGCCCCTCACCCATCTAATCCACTAAATTAAATTTGAAACTGACTCCTAAGAAACCATAGTGAATTTACAGAGTGTCTATTGATGCAGGAATACTGGTTTGTTTACAGTAGTACCACACATAGGCCAGGTATTAATGTCAAACATTTACTAACCTAACTGAGCTACAGTAGCTTCTTTCCCTCACGTTTCCATGCTTAACTGAACAGCAAGTAATTTTAAGTTAGCTGAAATCTGCACATTGATGAAAATTATTTCAAGTTTAAATTAAGTGGACTAGAAGACAGTTGTAAACCATCATTCTAATCTGGGAATTTTTCAGCTGCTGCCTTCATTAGCCTTTTCTCTATAGTTTCCCAGTAATTTCTTTTAATGGTGGCAGTGACAGTAGCATTTTAAGTTATTTTAATTCAATTCTAGACAACTGTTTTAAAAACATTAATAGCAGCAGTCTGTCTACACTATTACTTATGGACCTATTCAAGAATTAACAATATAGAATTGCATGAGTGCGAGCGCAAACATAAATAAGGCTGTAAAAGTACAGGTTGTTTCACTATTATCTTGTAAAAGCATGTAAGTGCTTCCCCCTGAAATACAAGTCAGTCAAAACTTTCCTTCTGAGATAACTGTGTATTATCTGTTTATTTAATAACAGGATTGTTACAGCATGGATTTTTAAAGACTTGCATTAAGGATTACAAATCAAGTTCTTTTTTTTTTTTTTTTTGGCATTCGGTCATTACCAAATTGAAAATTTTTGTTAAATTTTAAGTCATAACACATCAAAACACAAATTAACACTGGAAATTTCACATGACATTAAAGAGCCAGTTACAACTTGCAGGAATTTGTTCAATAAATGGAATTCATTTGCTATATGCAGCATTCCAGAACTTAACAAGTCAGCATATTTCTTCACCAGACTGACTGAACTTCAGAAGTTAAAGCTTAGGCAGCAGTTCACTTACAGATGGCTCTACCTTGTTGAAACATACTTCTTAGATCACAGAATGGTTAAAGATCTAGTTCCAACCCCTCTGCAGACCATGGGAAGGGACACCTCCCACTATGCCAGGTTGCACAAGACCCCATCCAACCTGGTCTTGAACACCTCCAGTAACGGAGCATCCACAGCTTCCCTGGGCCACCTGCTCCAGTCTCACCACCCTCATAGTGAAGACCACCTTCCTTACATCTAATCTGAACCTCCTTTCCTCCACTTTGAAGCCGTTACCCCTCGCTCTATCACTACAAGCCCTTGTAAAAAGTCTTTCCCCCCTCAGCTTTCTTTCAGGTCCCCTTTAGATATTAGAAGGCTGGAATAAGGTCTCCCCAGAGACCTTATCATTTCAAGATGTTGAAAATGAGAGAGGCATCGGAATGAATTCCGAACAGAGATGATTTTGACAAAACTACTAAAAGCTTTCACTGTTCACCAAAATTGATTTGAAAAGTGGCTTGCATTTCAACTGCACTCCAGTCACATTTCTTAAATCTCAGAATTGCCTTCCCTGCATACAGTGCAAGAAATTAAAATTACTTCCTTTGTATTCATTACATGTAATGCACACATCATGACATTTTAGGCTGTTTAAAATTGAAGAATTCACTTCTGTGTTCTGCATGAATAGTTTCAGATCATGAATAACAGTATTCAAAAGTTGCACCTGTCAGACTTTTAACTCTTTATGCTTATATTGGTGCCAAACAATATTACCATGAGAAAACTACATTTTGAAAACAACCTCCTTGTAAACTGAGGTTCTAACACCATTTAAATTTTCAGTCTTTAACAGCTTACAAAAAGAATTCCATTTAACTGATGAAATGGGGAAGGAAATTAATATGGTAATAAAAACTTCCCTGTATTGGCCCAATATTGTAAAAGGAAGCCAGTGTCCTACTTTTCATGCAGGTTGTGTTAAAGATATAAACGACAAGCAACACCATAGTAAACGTTTTTACTTTATAGAAAAAATGTGAATCTGCTTGAAAAGTACATGCAAGTGTGCTGGCTGGCATTTAAGTAAATTTTTATTCATAAAAATTAAAATGTTTATCTTTTAAAGGCTAGTGTGATCCATGTTTATCTATATGAATTATAATCAGAAGAAAATAACAATTTTCAACCTGAAAATCCCTAATTTTCAGATTGTCCTCAAAAAAAGAGGAGGGGGAGGGAAAGCTACTTACGGCACAGTAGAATTTCCTCACAGGTAACTGTAATCACTGGTATAAACACTCCAATCCCACAGACTTTCATACTGTCATACATTCAAAAATCTGGAAGACGTTGTGGGGATCCCCTTCTCCCTGGCCAGTTTAATCTGTTTTCAAAAGAAACACTTACTATCCCATAACAGTTTTGACATCCATTTTTATTTTTCAACCCTGCCAGAACAAATTTACTACTGGATGGTCCAGGGGCTTGGTCCCACAGGGGAGAAAGGGGATGGTGTTCTTGTAACTGATTGTATTCCCCAACATTTACACACAAGCTCCAGTGCACACAAGTAACTCTGCACCCACTTTTTAGTAGGCTGTTGCTTTTCAGAAGCTCCAGGCTAATCCTTCCTACATGATACTCCGTTAAATGAAGTTGAATGTTTTGTCTGCAGTTTTAACATTGTTTTTGGGGAAAAAAAAATAAAACCCAAACGGGGACACACATACATAGTAATACAGTAGACATCTCTACTGTGCTATAAAATTGATACCTCCATCTGTCATAGTGCATGCAATATATTCATGAAAGAAAATACTCGGTGCTCTCTTCACAGTATTTAAACTTCTATTGTATAAGCAGCTTTAAACTATGCCACAAGACTACACCATCCGTCTTAACCACAGGCAACCTGTTTAGCAAGTCAGGCACTGGAACTTGAGACTGTCACGGAGACAGTAGACTTGGTCTGCTTTAGTTTGCACCAGAAAGCTGGTAAGGAAACATTTAGAGCTGTTTATTATGTGGATTAAATACTAATTACTTGGCAAAATACAGCATATTTTTCTCTTCGCAAATCAAACCAACTGTCTTTACATGAGCAGATTTACACAGATAAGAGTTCATAAATAAAAATTCTACTCTGTATACCATGCCTAGCAATTTTCAAGTCAACGTAACCTCCAATGCATATAAATAATGTGGCTGGCAGGTACAGTCTTCACCAAAGATGTGTCTCACGGATCTCTGCAATGATCTGACTGGCTCGCTGCAGGGCCTGCACACAAACACAGGAAAGCTGAAGTTATTTCCTTTCTCTCAAGAGAATTCTTGAAGAAGTAACAGCAGCAATCTAGGAAGTGTGATGTTAAAAATCAAAATAAAGCCAGTAATTTTCATTATGAAATGAATGGTAACAACCTGTAACAACATCGATCAGCAACTCTGAAGCCTTCCATCTAGAAGAGATTAAGCAAGTGAAAAATGCCACAAAGCAAAAAGGTAGTGCTAAAACTTAGCGTGTCAATTTCTTTGGAGAGATAGGAAAAAAACTGAAAACTGAACTTCCATTTAGAAGGAAAAAGAGCTCACTCCTATTGTTTTGAGCAGCTTTTACATACTCTGTGTTCCAAATAGCACCTTTGTTTGTCTTAACCTTTTGTATTTATAAATAAATTCTCAAGAAGCGCAGACTCACCACACAAGTTTTACTGCTTTAAACCTTCCTCAAAACAAAAGAGAAACTACCTTTTTTGGTGTCACTTTTAGCATTCTAATGCATTAATTATAGTCTAGCCTACTAAACTTTGCAAATTTAAGAGCTCAGAAAACCAGCTAATGCTAACATTATTTATAGTATCACGCCAGTTTGAGCTACAAATTTGACTGTATGAAGTTTACAGTTTAAAAGACTATTTCCCCTCACTCAAATGTTGAATCATAATAGCAAAGACTAAACTTGCTGCAGGTGGTCTCAGACAAGCGGTACTTCAGGGTGTCCCAGCTCTCAGTCACACACTGACCACCCTGCCCATCAGAGAGAGGCAGGCCTGAGCTGGCAGAGGGTTAACCTCTCCTGTGTGGGTAATTCAACCCAGCACATTTCTGCTGCGGCTGTAGCAGACTGATACACCACACAGCTGAGCCATCAGGAACACAGACATGTCACCAATGCACCATCCTACAGATGTGCACAGGGGTCATCTTGAGTGAGTCCCACCATTCCCACTGTTCATATGAGGTACTGTCTAGATACACCAGGCATTAATCCCCCAAGGAGAACTCCTGAACACTATGAAGTCAAATAAAAGCAAATTATTAAAACCAAATGTATAATTGAAAAGAATGCCAGATTAGATCTGCTTTATAGCTTTCTACCCAAAATAATAGTTTGGCACATCTTCCCAAGCATTCGTGTTCTACGTAATACTTTCTAGTTACATACTGCTTTTAATTCTTCTAGCAGAGGAAGTAATACACTGCCACACTCTTAAAAAGCAGCAAAGAAAAAAGGAAGGTAAAGTCTTCCAAAAAATCTCACATTTATGTGGCTTCAATTTAATTAACTACTCCCATGAGGTCTTGATCTTTTTAATACCTTTAGCATGTCAGCTGCCTCTTTTCTGCGCTGTGCCATGTCCTCGGACTCTGTCAGAAGGTCATCCAATAACAAGGATTTATACAGCTGCCCTACCAGCTCACTCTGGAGAGTGTCTTTCACGTGGTTCACCAGAAAATGCATCACTGCCTTTGGCACACTGAAAGCACAAAGATTTTTTCTTTAGAAAGAGTTATTCAAAACCAAGTCTGCTCTAGATGGAAGAACGCACAGTGTGAGCAAGTGGCCACACACAACCTTGCCCCAAACTACCAGGAATCTACCACTACCACAAATAAAAACTCTGTCAAGTAAATGCAGTATCTTGTACAATTTACAACCTGTTGAATTTCTTCCAAGTAGGATAGCTGCATTTTAAAGAACATGAATATACATAGTGTAAAAAATAAAAATTTTCTCACTAGAAACCAACCCGAGTCTCCACTGTGCCAAGCATGACAAAAATTAAGTACTTCAACCCTAAAACCAGCCTTAACTCACAGCCACGTTATCTCCGATATCAGAGAGCGTAATGTGAGAGCAATTTAAAACTGCAAATGGAGTTTAAATGTGAGATAGGCATTTGTCTGGAATGGAGGCAGGCAGCAAGCAATGAGAATCAAGACCATCAGAAAGACACTACAGCATCTGCAGAGCAACATTTTTCAGCTCTACGTCAGCCTAAAACCACCTGAAACAAACCCCTGTCTTAGCACCAATTTTCATGCTACTGAGCTTCCTGAAAAAAAATAATAATAATAAAAAAAAATTAATCTAGCTGAACCTGATTTCCTTTATGAAATCATACTAATGCAGTACTAAAACCTGGGGATAAATTGAATTAGTGCACCTCAGGTTATTTCAGAGTGACAGCAACTGACAGTACCATGATCAAGAGGTATTTCCTAAAAATATTCCTGAATTAGGTGAGGATGTCCTAATATATCCAATTTACAATGTTTGAAATAGTATTTTTTTCTTCCCTTATTTATGCATATTTACTGCAAGGAATGTGATGGGATTGTTTAGAGTATGCAAAGTAGTACCACCACTAGTACTAATGCTGCAGCAAAATTAAGATAAAGCAATTCCTTGCTATGAAAAACTAAAAATTATATTGAGGAGAATATTAAGTTTACTGGGTAGAAAAAAAAACTTCTATGATCTCACTAATCTGTTCTGAGCTCTCCAAAACGTCCCATAAATATATGTATTTAAAAAGTTAGGTCTTTACACAGAGACTTAAGCAAAGTGAATTTTTACATCAATCTTCATTAAAAGAAAGAAGTATGTCAGTATTTAGGCAAAATTTTAAAGGCATTTCCCACAGCCACACACAGCAGAAACATCACCTTTATACTATTTCCATGCTTATAGCTAAGTACCAGGACACTTAGCCACACTACTTCCTATTGAACCTTTGCATTTGAAGTAAAAGGATGGCAAAGCAAAGTTCTGCCAGGCCTACAAAGCACCTAGAATTTACTCTCTTTGCTGCAAATGACCCATCTGAACTGCAGTATCCTCCAGAAAAGCAAGTGTCTCCTAAATATATGTGGTATTAGTAATCTTTAATACAAGTATTAACGTAATGCATGTATTAATATGTAAAATACGTAATATATATCTTATTAATATAACACACAACTCAATCCATTAGAGAAAACAAGTGCTTCTTCAGGCTCAGTTCTGTGAAGGGTGAAGTTTTACTGCTGCTGCCCCTTCTTAAAAAAAAAAAAGCCAAGAAATAATATTTGCTCTCTGCTTACAAACATAAGAACACCACACTGTAACAAGATTATATAAAGAACACCACACTGTAACAAGATTATGTACATGACTCCTGAGATACCACAACATTTGTATGGATCTCTAATAAGTTTTTTTTACCTGTCCTGAATGTTCTTCCTGACGATAAGGAAGTAAGATTTAATAAGTCGTTCAATCACTTCACAATCTCGTTGCTCACGGGCAGAAAGTTTGCGTGCAACTGGTACAGGCTATGTAAAAAAATAAAAACTTCAGTTTACCAATTCTGCTCATTTGCCTAAGTAAATAGAATTAAAACTGTGGAGTCTAAAATAAACTACCGCCCTTCTAGTCTGATAGTTTGATGTAACCTGTCTTGCAACAGACCTCTAGTTCTTCAGAAATAAAATTAGAGATGTGTCAAAATACAAATCTGTGAAACAAAGGTCAGAGGGCAGCACCACTAGTTTCTTTTTAGAAGCTCACTAAAGGAACTAAGCTCTCCAAACACTTTCAGTTAAAAATAGATGGAGATCCTTTATGTGCGTTTTGTCTTTAACAATTCTTTTCCCCTAACATAAAAATACCAACTTCAGCAAAAAAGAGCAGGAATTTGAGTTGAGACATGAGCTGAGTTTGGTTTCTGTACAAAGAACAGTCTAGACAAGGAGTTCACTTGTGCAGAAATTTATGAAAGGAAGCCAGTTATCCCAAATCACAGGCTGAAACCAGGGAGGGGGAAAGGTGAAGGACTGGGCAAGGAGGAAAGCAGAACAGAATGGCTAGAGCTCCCTGTCCCTCCAGTGGTAGGTATTTACTAAGCAAAGGTAGGTATATTAGTAGCAAAGTTACCAAGATTTGGAATTCAGCTGTTTTCTTTCCTGAGCCTGAACTACAAAAAGAGAGGGTACATATCTTTAATGACTCACCACATCTAGTAAGTTTACAGCATGTCCTTTTTGAGGACTAGCAGGTAGGGCTGCAGCTGGCTTGGATTTTTCCTCTGCTGATACCTCTTCTGCTTTTGAGGATTTCAACATTCCTCTCCAGTTGCCTGTTCCAGGCTCCTGAGACACATCTCCTGATCCAGGAGCAGCCTGCACAAACAGCACAGTGAAGAAACATTGGAGAGTTAGAACCTGGGCATTGCAAAACAGTATCTGATCAAATTACTATTTCTGAGCTATATGTAAGACTCACTAAAAATGAGATTTTCATATGTATATTCCTTTCATTCTTTTCTTCACATTCACCACCTTTGTTCTCCCTTTGCTGCTTACAGCTGACATCAAGTACCAGTAAAATTAAAAGCTTTTGAAACTGTTATTCTTCCTAATAATTATATGAAAACACCTCATGCAGAGAAGCTCCCCAGCATTTTAGGGCTCTACAAATCATTTCTGAAATATGGAATGATCTTCCTAAATCATTTGGTTTCTACCACTTTTACCATACATCCTTGGAGCAATACAACCTACACTGGCAGGATCATTCTTAAAGTATGTTTTGAAGATCACCACAGCTCTTAGAAAATTTGAATTTAAATTCTTTGGTATTTCATTTAAATTCAAATATAAACTGAAGTTTCTTACAATAACAAGATAAAAAATATGCACATTTATGTTTCCAGGTACCCTGGCTATGAATATATTTGTGCTGCCAAACCAATTTATAAAAGGCTTTTTGGTACCATATCAAAACAAAACAAGAATCTCCAGCTTCTGGAAGGAAAAATCAGAGTTTCTAGAAAGTTTCTACAAAGAATGATTCACTGATCTTCTGAGAAAGGACATAACATCCAACACTCAAACATTAGGAATCACTGGACAAAAGAAACAGCAAATGGTAACCCACTACATGTTAAATTACTATTAAAAAACTTGAAACAGTTTTATTTTGATGTGGAATTTTGTAGCTTTTCATAAGCCTAATATCTGCTTTATTTACTACTGTGCTTTAAAATGTTTGAAAAACATTAAAAAGTCATTCAAGGCTCTATACTACTACTACTACTACTGTTTTTCTTTCAGGTACAGGAGGAAATAACATAAATTTATATATTGTGTTTTCAATTAAAACACGACAGGCTGATCTGGAGTGTAAAGAGTGAGACATAAAGCATGGCAAATAGAATACCAACAGTAGCATACTATAAGGAAACACCACTAAACTCCACAGCAGAAATTTTATTAAAATCAGACAACTCTTCAAAGGCACTAAAAAAATACACTATAAGAATTCAAATCAACCTCTGCTAAAAGGAGAGAACCACTGATGAGGAAAGCTCCACTACATTATTTCTGATTGCAAGACAGGTATTTAAAATGGCAAAAATCCGTACCCACTCTCCTTGAGTGTTACTACAAAGCCTGCTCCAGCTCCAAAGCAGTTTCAGAAACAAAGCTACATTCTTTCACAAAAAAGTGTTGAGTGTTATCACCAAACGAAGAACAGGTTTTGTGGGAAACATTGAACGATTTGACAGCTCTCTGCAACTTCTTAAGTCACAACAGTATCCTCACAGTAGCTTTTGATTTTTTTTAATATTTTGCAGCATATCAGAACTTCCAAAACTGATAAAAGTAGTTAGAATTGTACTAGACTAGATTTTGACTTCAATTACTTTGTTCAGGACAGAAACATCAGCTTTGCCCTAGAAGCTGAAGGTGCATATGCAATGAAGCAGAAAGCCTGAGTCCTCTTGGTGCTCTTAATACATGAACTTGTGACTACCCATCTTTTCTACACTCCCAGGGGAAAGCAATTAGGAAAAGCATCTTCACAGCAACAAGCTGTTTTTTTAACATTAGAGACAGCATACCTAAAAATGTAAAAAAACCCTGCAGAACACATTTCATGAATTTAAGTAAACCATGGATTGATGACTACGTGAAACCACAAAAAGGAGGTTCAGTTTAAACAAAGCCTATAAAGACTCCCTGCAGGAATTTTTTAGCTTATCTTCTGTCCTCCTCCTTTAACTGTCAACACATTAAAAACATGCAGTTTAACAACCATGCTCAACACTTGATTACAATAACATTGCACCAAACAATCTATAGACAACAGTTTGAGGCAAATTATGCTGCATACTTGCACCACAATATATGGCAACTGAGAGTTCAAACAGAAAGCAGTGAGTGCCACCTAATGGCACATCTTTACCTGCCACTGCACATACTAAAATCAGTAATGCCAAGTGGCCTACCTTCTGCAGGGCACACTGTGTCAGCGACAGAGCACGGCATACAAACTGCTTTCTGTACAATCTCTGGTGCACCACAACAGAAATGTGCATGCAGTGTTTAGAGGAAAAATCAAGACAGACCTTGCCATCAGCCTCAGCAGAAGCAGCAGTAACAGTCTCCTGGGAAGCAGGTGTCAATACACCTGGAGCTTTAGTAGACTAAGGAAGGTAAAAAATGCAGGAAGGGAGGGGAAAAAAAAATAATTTCAACTGAAGACCACCAATTCTACCTAGCAGATTTCATACACTTTTACCTACTAGCATCTTTAAAAATCCAAAATAGAAAATACTTTGAATTGCAAGCAAAATGGCAATATAAGCAGAAAAAAAAAAACCAACAACAGAAAAAGCATCTCCAAGACATTCAAGACACTTTTGGCTTCTCTGGCCTTCAATTTCATTTCAGCTCCTACACGGATGGTATAAATATGAAGTCAATCAAAAAGCACTGGAAGAAATCTCTACATAGCTACCTTAAACTCCCAATTCATCCATCAGCTGGCTTCTACTGATTAAAGACAGTAAAATATTACATCCATTCTGAGACCTGGTCTCACTTTGTAAGCTAACAACACTTAACAAATCAATTTGTATCAGATATTAATTCCTGTTACAGCCTGTTAAGAGCTTAAACTACATTCTCTATATTTAGATTCTAAATAACTTCACGTAATATTAAATACCTAACTGTCCAAAATTCCAGCTGATTGTCAGACCATCCATTTCTACAGCCAGGCAACGTTTTCCATGACACTTGGTTTTTCCACCCACGGAATGCTTGCCATTGAACTAATCTCCAAAACTGACAAAACTAAGAAAGCTCCAGAGAGAGTAAATAATTGGATTATGATCATCAGCTGAAAACATCACCTCCAATATCTTCTCCCAAAGAAAACAAGAGTGCAATAAAATGCAGTTTTAAGAGTGACTTAAAACCAAACCAAACCCCAACAAACAACAAAACCAACTACCAAGTCACTATGTTGGCACACTGAATATTTTAAATCACTTTATCTTTTCAAATCAGTGTCTCAGCCATAAATTTAAGCATGCAAGTTCTGACTCCATCTTTTAACAACTGCAGGCATTTTAAGCCTTTTTCTCACAAAATTATCAAGTATAATATTAATGTAAATTTATAGGCAAGTCTTCAGAAATCTCAGATTAAAAAACTGTCAAAAACTGCATCTTTGGAAGAAGAAAATTAAATTTCATAAGATAGAAGTGGGATGTTAAGAAAAACTGAATACCTGGAAGCTCCCAAGACTGTTATTACAGTAGCCTATCAAAGTTTTCAACACTTAGACTGGATCAAAGGACAATGCATTAAGCTTCAAATGAATAAAAATCAACAGTTACTTACCTTGTCTCGTGGCACAGCAGAAGGCAATTCCCGGGCTAACCTGTTACGCCTTTGTTCCTTTAAAAACAATCCAGCAAGACTTTAATTATGCATTACTCTGCATCAACACGTGCAAGATTTATATTTTACAGATGACTTAAATTTTAGAGACAAACACTTTTCATCCCATCCAGTGTCATGTAGTCAGTCACACTATGATCCTATGAAAACCTCAATTATTTGGATAAAAATACTCCTATTCCCTGGTCAAAAGTAAATTCTTGGTATAAAAATGTTTGCAAAACTTTCTGCAACACAGTCCATAATCAAAACTAGTGCCTTTAAAAAAACAATCTCAAAGCTACAGTTTGGCTCTGCACAGATACCCTACAGCCCTCATTAAGCTTTAAATCTTCAAAGTTATCAAAAAGGATTTGGATCCTGTGGCCAGCAGGGTTAACTGTGATTAGCCCAAGAGGAAAATGGGAGGCAGAATTCACTTTATAGCAGAACAGAATTTGAAGTGATTAGGAAAAACAAACATGATTTTTCTTGAAATTAAGAATTAATTGCCCACTGTATAAGGATAAGATGTTTTACGTGCTTTGTTTCTTCAAAAATGTCAATGTCCTGTTCAGGAAAATGATGGGAAAGAACTAGTTTAAGTAACAAACAATAAGACAATAATCTCCTATGTTCAGCTTCACAAAGTCCTAAGTTTTGTACTCACAGCAGTTTGCACACACATTGTTTCTGAACTAGACTCAAGAGCAGTCTACCAAGGAAAATTCAATTGCACAGCCAGTCACTACAAAATTTATGTACAGAATAAAGTAGAAAGTTAGAACTAAAGAGCAGAAATAACAAAAACATTAAAAAAAAAAGAACACTACTATGAAAGAATGTGTTGGATAAATAGGGGAACACAAGAATATTACCGAGCTCTTAGCCAGATGGATGAAGTACTGCAACAAAACCAGATTGCAAGAAAAAATTGAGCAGATCAGTTGTAGAACAGTAACAATTATTATCAATTACCAAACGGCTTATGAAAGATTGAGGGAGAAAACTGTTTTAGGGAGATTGAAGCATGGTAACACAGATTCAAGAACAGTGTTGAAAGGAAGCAGAAATTAGAACCTGAAGACAGGAAACAATACTTTTATTATACTTTAATGAATAAAAGGAACATTATAACTATACATACATTTGTCAGAGACAAAATGCAGTTACTTTTGCATTAAAGAGTATTTCGTAACTAAAGTTTCTCCTCCAAAAATTTCATTTAAAAGTCAATACTCAATTAGGTGCCCATCTTATTTTCCAGAGAGAAATACAGGCAGAATTGTTTTCAGTGAAATATCAGCTGCTGATCCTGAGTGTAAAAGGCAATATACATCTAACAAATCAACAGGCCAAAAAAGTATACACTATATTTGTAATACATCCAAAACATAGAACTGTGTTTCAACAGAAGAAATTGAAGGATTTGTTCTTTTACTAATGATTTAGGCTCTGACTTTAGAATAGAGACTTTAATAGAATGTATTCTCTTACCTCTATGTTGTTATTCATTAAGCCACAGGCATCAGCGAAGTCTGGATGTTTGGTATTGATATAAGCTAACTCAATGGCCACTAGATTATGAACCTGCAATGCAATGTCATTCACAGTTCAACAATTCACTGTGTAAACCTAATGCTAGTGAAGAACAAAGACCTACAATGCTAGAAAGCATAGTCTAACTGTCCATAGCAAAAGTCCATTCTTACTGGCCCAAAGAATAAAGTTCTGATCACAAGGCAAAAAGGGAATTCATTCATTCATTGCAATACATTCGGAGCTTCACCTGTTTTGGATGTTGTATCAGTTTGACTTGTTAGCTTCATCAAGCTAACCCCTCTCCAGCAATAAATGAACAAAATTCAGCAATTTAATGAGTGTAAGCTGTATAGTACTGAAGTGATCTGTATAGTCAAGCTTCAGCCAGAAGCCACATACAATATTTGAATGAGTGACAGATGGCTCACTGTGGGGGACACTGAGCATACGGAAAAGTTTTGCTTTTCACGCCAAACATACGCAGAGTTAATAACTTAAACCACTTTGTTTCCTCCCCAATAAGGAGCCCAAAGTAGACTTTTATATTATACCATATTTACTTGGAGCTAGAAATTCAATTTTTAGTTCTTACTAGCTACAGGGCATTACAAACAAAATCAACAATTTGTATTGATTTTATCTCCAAAACACACAGAATGAGTAGCTGAATTTAATCATCATTGCATCCTGAACTCTCCAGTAAAGGTACAGCTTCTGTTACACAGGAGGGAAATATACCTATATCAGAAAGATTGTGAAATGTTAAATCTGTGTTTTAGTAGAATTGTTCTTGGGAAACTGGGGACAATAAGCTGAAGAGGGTTCCCTCCACTCCTTGTTTTTTTATGTATCCGTCTTCTAACACAGAAGGAGTTTCAAACCATGTAGATAGTAAATGCCTAGCTGTTTAACAAAAATAAAGATTCCTTCAATCATTTGGGTTCCTGACATTACAGAGCAAATAGAAGCATCAAGAAAGACTCCAGAAAACACACACTTTTCCCAGCAACATTATAGTATATCGAAAATTACCATTTCATTTGTGACAGGAAGTCTTCTACGCAGAAGACAGGTTACTACTTCAACTATGGCATCGTGCAATTTAGGAAACCTCAACAGTTCCTAAAAATGAAACAAATGTTCTGATGAGACTTCCAGACTTTTTATGGAAATGTGGAGGGCAAAAAGCCCACTAATTACAAACAATTCTAAAATGTGCATTTTTACCTGTGTACTGTAATTACTACAGTGCTGGATAATCCTCTGCATTTCTTCATGAACCAGCTCCACGCAGCGCAGGCTAGGTTCCTCTAAACGTTTGATTTGCCTTTTGACCAGCAATTCAAATGAAACTTCAGGAACAAACAAGGCAGGACGAGGACCCTAGTTCAAAAGGAGGGAAAAAGCAGCTAAATTGTCTATTAAAACAATATGCATTTCTAAGAAATAGTATCTGATAAAGCTCAGAATAAATCAGGTCATAGTGCTTGCACCCAAAAGAACACTCAGAACAGGTCTTAAAAGGGAAGTATTTTAGAAGAACATTTAAATATAAAAGCTATAAAGTTATTACCTTTAAGACAAACCCTGTGTTAAATGACAATTAACCAGCACTCCAGGCTTATAACTATGAACAATTCTTTTCACATTTGTGGAGCCAAGTTTAAATTAAATTCAATATAAAGGCAATGACATTCTCTGCCTAACTCCTGAAAGAAAAGCTACCATTATTTGACAATCCTGGGCGTACAATTCTTACTGCAAGGTAGATGGGTTTTCTGGTTAAGTGTAATCATAACACAGTGTCACTGATTTACAGTGTTTGGAATAATTTCATTTATTATCATACAGAACAATGTTTAGTTATATAAAAAACTTTTTTACCTGAAATATCCTTTTTTAAAAAAAATTAAAAGTGCTTTAGAAACATGAAGAAGTGATCAGTTACATAAATCCAAGACATCTCTCTTGTTACTAAGAGCTGCTTTACATTTTGCATGTAAGGAAGGATAAAAGCATACACACAGATGTGTTCCAAGCTTGCATATGTATTGTCCATGGAGCAGCAGGGCTATCCACGCCCCACAGAGCGCAGTACAAAAGCAGACTTGTGTCTGACATTCAGAGTCAAGCTCCAAGAAGCAAACATTCTAAGTATGGTAAAATTTAGAAGTAAACTTAATCTGTTAATTCTCAGTGACACCAACTCCCCTATACACAAGAAACCAAATTTATCATGTAAACACTGAAGCATTAAAGAGCTGTGTCCCTTTATATGGAATTAAAATATCTGAACGTGTCCTAGCCCATATCTCTCAGGCAGAGTATTCGTAAATAACAGAAGTGCTTAATGCAAAATGCATGCAGAGACAGTCTTCTATCACCACTTCCATAATATTGCATAATATCATGTAACACATAATAGCTTCAGCACAGGGTTGACAAAGCTGGGCCTGAGTCTTATTTCAGCCTGTAAATAACAGTAAGGAGATGCAGGCATTTTCTTTAAAAGCATTCTATATAGGATAACAGCTGCAAATTTGAATATCGTCATTTCTCCACTTAAAATACAAAACAGTAGGACTCAGCCTCTTCATACTAACTCATTCAGCTGAGATCATTAATTCACAGGACTGAAAGAGCACAAATTTCTTGAAATAGATTCAAATTCAATATGTAGCAACAAAAACTTAGAAATACAGAATAACACTCACAGTAGCATTTCTAATGGCAGTGAGAATATCAATTGTGTTAAGGCCACCCAGTGGGTCAACAGATTCTAAAGTTCTTCCAAAGGTCTCATGAAAAATGTAACAGATTCTGGCTCCACCGCATCTGAAAGAATAAAGCAACAACTGAAGCTGCATAGAAGAAAAAAGATATTATTTTTATACTTATTTGGATTCAAACATTTTGGATTATGTTACGCTCTAGTGTAGTACTATTGCCAGTGCAAGCTAGCAGCAGCCAAAGGGTCAGCCAAACTGTTTAATGTTGGAGAAAAACCATTTAGTACTTACAGCTCTGAAGTCTCTATGTATTTTGCTGTTCCTTCAATAGTGTTACAATATTCTGTAGCAAATTTGGTAATAAGCTGCAATAAAGTGGCACTTTTGTCCTCCACAGGTTCCCCATAGCTGTTTAGTAGAGACTGGTACTGAGCAGCTAAAACATTGATTCTGGTTTTCAGTTCTGGCAAACAATCTCTGATATGATGCATCAGTAGTCTAAAAATGGAAAATAGTCCCACATTAGAATGGAGGAAAAGTTTCAGCTTTATCATCTCCATCAAAAAAAGAGAGAGAAAATAATCAAAGGAAAACATTTGCTCAAGAAAAATTAAAGTAAATTCAGAAGCTGAATTTGCAATCTGTTTTTCTTAATATACGACTCTAAAGAACCAAAATACAAAGAAAAAAACAAATGTTTACATGTAATTATAATACCCCAACTTATGTCTTAGAAATAACTTTAAAAGCACACATTTTATTTTATATAGTATGTAATACCTGTTCAGTGTTCTAGCAAGATACTTGGTTCCATTTCGATTGGCTAGGGAAGGATACTTCTTCTGAAGAAAACCATACTCATCACGAATGGAATCTGCTACACTCTTCTTATTGTTAATGTCCAGCTGACTCCTGAAGCGAAAGGAGGCACAGTGCAAACAGCTCACACCTTGGCTGTCCTCAAAGGCTCATCCAACACCTGGCTTCTGCTCTACACACAGCCTCCTTCAACTCAGCTTCCTTAGGCAATAAAGGGCTTTATTGTTCCATGCACCACAGACAAAAACACAGTATGGGTAGCAGCTATACAGAGACTATGCAATGCTTTTATCAAAACCACATGAGATTTGAGCTAGCTAAAGCAAAAAAATAAAGTGAACAGTACTGTAACCATATACAGTTAGCACTAGACCAGATATGTACTGGACCAGTGCTAGTGTGAACAGCTGATCAGAAACAGCTCTCAAGCTAAAAACAAAGAGTGGAAAGAAGGAGTGATACTACAGTTCTTTTACAAGTGTCCCTACTCTTTTCTAAAATTGCAGTTCATTGAGTGGAAGAACAACAGAAGGCTTTGGAAAAGTGAGCAAAAAGCTTCTCACTTGCTTATTCAGAAGTAAATTTCAACATCAAGTCACTTTTTTCTTAAAACCACATTCATGGGTAAAAAAGCCAAAAGCATTACTTCATATTAACACAGTTTGAAAAATAGCATCAATGTGCCCAGACAAACCTGTTCACTACCCCAATGATGCCAAGCTTGACTGGAATCACTCTTCCCATGAGCACATCCATAGCATCAGTGCCAGCATCCATGAGGTCCAGCTTTGTGATAACAGCAAGGGTTCTTCGACCTACCAGAAGGAAAACTTGCTCACAGGGATGTCTTAACTTGATCAGGGTAGCTAAAACTCATTCAAAAAGTTCCTCAGAAAGCCATGAAGTTTTACTGCAAAGCAGCAAAGACTAGTGCAAGAACATGTGTTACTATTCTATCTGAAGCCCCTTAATAACAGGAGTATAAAAGTATTTGGCAGGTACTGCTCCCAGTGAAGAATTAGTTGAAAAAAAAAAAAAAGGTTTAGGCACCATGCAGTTTGAAGTTACAGTTGTTACAGATTACAACAAATGTTTTTGCACACTACATGAGGTTAGAGGAGTTACTAAGCACTTTTGGAGAAGACGAAGGCAGGCAGGGGACTCACCAGCATGAGTGGACTGATTATATCTCTAGTATATACATGGGACCAGACATAATGGCAATCTGTTCAGAACTATATTTGAAATACCAGTACCCACTGAAGAAGTTGCTAAAGGAGGCGACAGGCCCACTTCCAGCACAGTCAATCAAATACAAAGCTGAAAGCCCCAAAAGACTGCATAGCTTGAAATCCACCCACTGAATACACTTTAGGAGATTTAATTTTGCTAATGAAATATTTTTAGGTAATATGTGGCTGAATGTTTTTCAAATGAAAATTTAAGCTTCATATTGTACACTGTAGAGAAAAAAGTGACCTAAATTAATAGGTAAATATTGCACGTCTAAAGAGGTAGGCTGACATGCACAGGATTTGCCTGGGACATCAGCATTTCCCTGGCTCTTGGGTCTGAAAAAAACATGGCAAGAACTTTCTTTAAAATACAACAGAGTTTTTGAGTCTAAAAATAAACCAGAATCTCAATAAAATCAGTAGGTTCTTGGACCCTGAAACTTTCAGATGAATGCAAGAAGAGAGTCTACCTACTTTAAGTACTTCAAGTTCTCATTACATACTATTATTGCCACAGAGCCTGTAACATAAGCTGCCACTCCAGACCTTTAAGGCTTAGAATTTTGAGAAGTGATCCAAAAGTCACAGTTGATAATTTCTACAGGGGCAAGTTAAAAGGAAAGAGTCTGCTGCCTTGAACCAGGGTAATGTGACTGAGAAGACTGCCAGAAGAGGTTCACCCTTGAGGTTACATGGCTGTGGAACACAAAGGCTTAGGCAGACAGGCCAAACCGTACCCAGAGTTTGAAAACAGTAACACTTGATGGGAGGAAAAGTTTGAGGGTAAAGCATACCAACGCTATATTTTAGCCTTATTTCAGCATACTTATTTTCCAAGTATACTCTTCCATATTCTTTCAAATTGCACAGTGTCATTTACTAGTCAATGGTACCAACAGTACTTTCCATAAACAAGAAGCAGTTACCCAGTAGCTTGAGATCTGTTTCAAAGTCATTAGGTAAATATAAAATGATAATCCTCTTCTTAGATTAAATCAAATCAGTCAGTTCTGAAACATAAATGCAGGGCACCAAAATGGATACTGACAGTATAAAAATTTTATACTTACTAAAAGTCACTAAACTAACAGATAGTCAATTACTAGCTGCAGAATGGCATATTTCCTCTCCTAAAATAAACAACAGTGGACAACAAAGCATGAAGTCATCCTAACAGACCACTGTGAACTACTAAAAATCTCAACCCCCTCAACATTCTGTAGTGCCATTTTGCAGCTGTGGAAACAGAAGTGGCTCCTGTGACTGCTGAAACAGTTATTTGGCCTGTTGTAAGCCAGAAATCTATTGGATAGTAACTCATCATGGCATCCTCTAAGTTGCAGAGACTGCAGCAGGAAGGCTTTAAACAAATATAATAATTGTATTTTCTAGGAAATGCAGTGACATTTGTTCTTCCTACTACTTTTTGCCCAAATGACTTCAGTTTTATTTCAGGACTTTATTTTTGAAAGAAGTTAAATTACAGGATTCAGTTTTTCTTGCCGCTTACCATCAGGATCCACCTCCCGTGCAATTTTAAGTGCTTCTGAAGTGGCCATGTCTGTGTTAGCCGCTGTGACTGCCAGAATAATTGAATTTGGGTTGCTGATGAATTGAAGGATGAGCTCTCTTATTTGAAGCTCAATGTCCTTAGGCTGATCGCCAACAGGCACCTAGAACAAAAAATGACATAGCACTGTTCAGAAAACACTCATTGAAATTTCAAGCTCTATACCATGGTAGAAGATAAAAGTTCTCAAGCCCCTTCCTTCCTCCTTCATAAGCAGGGGGGGGAAAAAAAGGAAGATCTTGAAAGGTATAAAAATAAAAACCACTCTTACAGAAATAATAAATTCAAATTATTTTATACTGCTATCAAGAAGACTTGCTATCCAGGAACCACGTGCACAACTGGCAGAGTGGGGTGTGTATGTGTGCATAGGCAGAGAAACCAGTCATCTTGTCATTTTTATGCCAAAAAAAATTACTCAGGATAAAAGTTAAACAGGATCTGAACACTTCTTCTAGGGTATCCTCACTTCTTATGACTTCTTACACAAATTACGCATAGTAGCTTCCAGAGAAGCAATGGGGGAAACCTTTTCAATCTTGTCAAATACCCACAGATCTCCAGGTACAGCTTTGAAATAAGCATTACCTCTTCTATGAAAAATACCACACAGCCCATAAAACACTTCCAATCCCTCAGCTGTATATATAAAGAGGAAGAACTTAAGCAAATCTACTTCTTGCAACAGTAAAGAGCACCAGAAACCCAAATCTTATACCAGAAGATGGTGACATCTCACATTTATATAATCAACTGCTTAACTTGAGGAGAGCTGTTTTATCTAACAATACAGAATAGTGCCAAAGAGTGAACATACACTCCTTGCTTCAAAACACTGTTCAGAGTGAGTCAGAAGAGAAGTGTTCTGCAGCTTACCTTTGTCATTCCAGGTAAATCCACAAGAGTCAGATTCACAACATTAGATGAAAAAATCTTAAGATGAATAGGTTCTGGACTGATCCCCTGGAAATATATTAATAATAACATTTAAGCATTGTACAGGTTTATTTAAATGCAGCCTTTAGAAAGCCAAAAGCTGCCATTTCATACTAGAAAAAAATTCTGCCATCATATGCATTACAACTACGTGACAAGGAAAAAAATCCAGCCACATTTGTCAAACCAATTCCTTTGCAAGCAGTCCTGCTTTCCCCCTCAATATAATGCACAAATATAATACATAAAAATCCGGTTTATATTTAAGTGATTGTATACCCATGCAAGAACAGACTACTCAATTTTATAATTACACATAAAGCCATGTAAATGGAAAAATGGAAGCAAGTTGAACTCAAATTTTATTTTTTGCACTACTATTATGGAAGCTTTGAAGTAAAGCAACAGCAATTCTCTGCATTTCCTTGTAGCTGAAGTCACTTATCTCACAGACACAGTGAAAAAACTCAAGACAGCAAGCAGCCTTACTGTGTTCTTCATTCAAACAGTTCAGTGCTTGTCACTTCTAGCTGCCAAAACTTTAGAAAAGTTTAAGCAGCAAAAGAGTCTATAGCAAGACAAAGATGGACAGCACAACATTTACCTTATTATTTCCTGAAATCCTCTCTGTTTCATTTTCTATTTCCTGACGAATTTCATCAAAATCTGTATAGATCTGAAGTATGGAAGAAAAAAACTCTTTAGAAATCAAAGACAGCATCCACTTTCCTAATTGTGTAATAATGCTCTCTTCTCCATGAGACAGTGAAAACCTCTGTAACTAAGTACACAGAGGGTGACAAAAAAAATTACTACTGGCCCTTAAGCTATTAGCAGTCATCAGTGCTAAAAATGACAGAAATTGGAATCTTAGTATTTAATCTGTTGATTAATATTGTGAGATGGCAATCATTAGCATGTATTACCCCACTCACGTCAGATAAATTGTAAAAGTCTTCACCTAAAGAGAATTTCAAACACTTAACTCCATTTCTAATCTAATAGCAATCCTTTGAAGTTAATAAAACATGTAGCCTGATCCTTCTCTCATCTCAAAAAGGTCAAACAACAAGGACAGACTTCCATTCCCACTCTTGTCAAAACTATTCTCCTACCACCAATCCAAAATAAGTCAGCACAGAGCTACCCTTGCACAGGTTCCCCCTGCACTCCTCTCAACATTTCCTTCAATTTCTAGCACTGCCTAGACAGTGAGGAAATCAGTTTAAAGTAACAAACACTTAAATAATTCATCTCCCAATAAAAAGATTACTTTCTTCAAGAAAAAAATTGAGCTTTAACTCTTTTACTAGAGTCCCAGGTCATCTAAGTTTCTGCTTCTCCTCCTGATGTGCATTAGACTCTTCCTTCCTTTTCATAGCTTTCTAATAAATCTCTGAAGTAGCCAATTCCTCAGTAGAATGACATGACTTATGACTATACATTTCCTTGTCTTTGCAATTCCCATCCTAATTTTGCCAATGCACAAATAAAAAAAAAAAAATCTACAAAATGCCACAAAAAAGGTTAAGAAAAATAACTCAACAGAATCAATGATCCACACAACAGACCACCATTCATAAACTTTCTGTCTTAAGTTTAAAAATGTTTTCAGAAGTTTTGTACTCATATAAAGCAAAACAGAAAATCCTAAGTACTCTGGCATACAGTATAGCAGACAGGAAAGTCAAGGGAAGAGACACAAAATTAAGTGTGTATATATATATATGATAGTGTATTTATGACAGTACTACTCCATCACCAGAGTAAACATACCTTATTTTTGGTGTGAAGAAATTTACCCCACTCTTCAGCATCTATCTCTGAAAATAAATAATCAATACATGAGGAAGAGGAATCAGATGTTGCAATGGCTTTTTTTCAAAGAGCCCGTTTGTTGAAAACTACAAATCTATTTTTTTTTCCTTTTTCAATCACAAAAAGAAAACCTAGTCTGATTTCTACTGTTAGAGATGTTAAATAGCCCAGGCAAAAAAAAAAAAAAAAAAAAAGATTCTGCTTATTTAATCACTGCATTTGCATTAGAATCTAGTTTGTCTCTCTTACACAAGGTCCACTTTCCTAATTGTGACTGAGCCAATCAACTATCCTACCATTTTTCAGAAATCATCTAGTCTATTAAATATCAGCTTATTTATAAGAAAACAAAAGAATTTGCAGCAATAGCTTAAAAGACCTGAAAAAAATACCAGCTTTTAGCATTTTTCTTTTACCATGCAAGCGAGATCAAATTACAGCTGAAAAAAAAAAAAATTATAAAAACCTGTAGAACCAAAACCAAGCAAACTGAAAATAGGCAAGAAATTTGCATAACAATGAAGTCTTAGGAGAACATGTCTCTTCCCAAATCTGTCAAGGACCAACTATCTTAACTCTTGTCAGTCACCACTGGTGTCTGGAATTACTTGGGGGCTATTCAAGAGCAGCCCCAGAAACAGCAACGGAGGTTTTCTCAGTCCCTGCTTTGTCATGCAGGCAGCACTCTGAGTCGCACTGCAAGATGCCCACTCTTCCACAACGAAGTTCCAAGTATTAGTGATAAGGTCCCTTGCAAATTTTTAGGGTGCAGTCATTTCCCCCTCTGCTCTCCAATACAGCAATCTGCTCTAGAAGAATAGGCTACAAGAATCTGGCCATTTGGCAAGCACTCTGTTGATCTACATCCAAGTCCTCTTTCAAAACGTTTTTTCCATTCAAGTTGAATTTCAAGAAACTGATCAACAGAAATTTTTTTTTTAAAAAGGATTTGGGAATTGAAAGTGCAGGTAATTCTATGAAGCAACAATACAGGAGAAAAACAAAAAAATCACTTCAGAAAAGTAAGAATCAACCAGATCACAAGACTCAGCAAAATAATAATTCAACACAGTAGCCAAAGTGTAAAAGTGGAATCAACAATAAAGTGGCATGAAATGTATGTGGTTTAGTGAATACAGGCATGCACTTTATGTGTGGGGAGAAAAAGCAAGTGGATAAAGGCAACCTTTAGAAAGGTGTCGTGGATTTTTCCATGTAGCAGGGTCTGCAGTTAAAGAGAAACAGCATTGAACGGTGTTTAAATTTTTTAATCATATTTAATATAGCATTTTATTAACTTTCAGTAGCAGACTGTATTACAAAGACCACAAATGCATGCAGACAGATGTGGATGCTATTCTACTATTGATGGGAATGTGTAACATATTAACAGTATGCACAGAAATAAGATCTTAACTGAACACTGATAAGCTATGTATATTAATCAGATATTCTATACCACAGTTTACTTGACGATGACTATTACTGCTGTTCATCTAACTCCAACAGGTCACAATTTTATCATCTGAGCACAGCAAACAGCACCATTAGGTTCCTCAAAGCTGAACTTCTTTGACAAAATATATTTCTCATCATTTACTTGTGGCAAGAATGAGAGAGTACAGCAGGGAGAGAAAGGAAACATTTGTAATGTCACTGAAAGTGATATTACTGTATGGGAAAGAAATCTGAGGGTTTGCATCAATCTTTCTAATGCTCAATTCAAAACCCAGTTATGGCAGTTTGGAGAGATTTAAGAAGAGACAACATTAGCTATCACTCTTCTCAACGTTTAATTTTCTCAAAATATTTATGGAAATCCCACTACAAAAAAAAAAAACTTTTTATTGAAGAGCTGATGAATTTACAGCTCTACTTTTTATGTGATACCAGTACAGCACCAGAGAAATGCAAGAATCAAAACATTTTTGGCACGTGCCTCTTTAACACAAAATGCCAGTAGCACAGCAACAATCCACTCATTGGGTTGGGAAGCATAGGACCTCTGGGGAGTTATTTTATTGTCTTACTTGGGTGAGTACATCAAAAGTTTATCATCAATGGAAATACACTGATTTAGACAGACTGCATCCATTAAGGAAAAAAAAAGTAAAAATTACTTTCATCCTTACTGTTCTGCAGGCACACAAGCTATGACAAAACTATTGTTGGAAGGCAACTTTTATTTGCTTGGTAAATAGGCAAAATTACATTCCAGTCTCCAGAGCAAGTGCAAAATGAAAGGGCTCATTAATTCCAGGTTATTAAACAGGTTTAGTTTATTTACAGTTCAGAGGAAATAAAGCAAAATGCATGTTCAGGAAGAAACTACAGTATCTTCAAGATTGTATTGCTCACCCGCTCCTAAAAACTTAATCTAAGAAAGCAAAACCAGGCATGAAGCCAGTAAGAAAGAGACAGCAATATACTGCCACCATTACATTTGAAATAGATGTACCAAGCATTCTCCTCTGATGTCCCTCCTAGGACACACTGTTTTAGTCTTAAATTACTACTCGCATAGGAATTTGCAGCTAGGTACTAGGCTTAGTTCTATGTAGAAAGAAATCTTTTGTTTCAGTGTAATCTATTGACTTTTAAAAATACATATAAAAAATGGATTCTGGTCGGAGGCGTCGCATTGTAACTTGTTAACATCTACAGATCAAAGGAGACTGAAAGTTTGTTAAGCGTTAACAAGACACAAGTTTTCTTTGCTGTAGATATACACAACAAGAGAAAACACTGAAGCCATGTTAAATGGCTTAGTCTTAACCTCAGCCTTGGTGCACATAAAAAAAAGAGGAAGAAAAAAAAGTTGAGGAATAAATGCAGCCTCCTGAGGTGTACAGAAAATCTCGTCTGGTCAAAGTATAAGCTTTCAGAAGTTTCATTTTGTAGAGTGGTGAAAGTCTTGCCCCACTCTTGTGAGGAAGTCTGTACAGACAGCCCTATTAACATTTGAGAAAAATTTCCCAATAACTATAATTTAATGCAAAGGAGTTTTTAGGAAAGGGAAAATTATTAAAACAACAGCTACTAAGAACAAACAGATCATGTCCTTCAAAAAAGCATTTCCTGACTAAAGCACCAGTCTGTTTGCTTTTCTGGCTTTTCACATCTTGGAGTGAGACCTGAAAATTTTAATTAGTATACTGGAAAAGTAGATGTAACTACAGTATTCTTCTCAGGACTACCCTCCATCAAATTGTTACATGTTGCCTCCTACACTGCAATGGTCCTTTAAGAAGCCTAAATACATTACACTGCTAACTGGCTTAGTTATTAGTGTAACTCTTTGCCCTCCCTAAAGCAGTAATGTTCTTCATACACAATGGCAGCACAAAGCTGTTCAGCGTCCTAAAAGGCTACCACCATAGAGCATTTCTTAGAGCACAGCAATGAGAACATTCCTAATTCAAAAAAAAAAACCATCATCAGCAAAGCACGAAGAATTCTACTCATTTTCCTAGCTTTCTAGTTCCCACACCCCTCCAGCTCTTGGACCCAGCAGACTACCTTCAATCTGAACTCCTTCCCACTCTCCATCACCTCATCCATTCCTAGGGCTGCCCAATTAAAAAGAAAAAAAAACCAACTTGTGAAAAAAAGATGCACATATTCCAATCCTTTCTATAAGTTGCACCATTTTTTCCATCCTTGACACTAACTAGATGGCCAGTTCTTTTGAGTGAAAGCTCTTGTGCTTCTAGAAAGCTAAGTGCAATGCAGCAGTCCATGCTGTTCAGGAACTAGGGGTAAGGGATTCATGTTCGAAGTAGAGAGCAAAAAGCTGACAAAACAGTGTTGATTTAGCAAGCAACAGATCTGCATTAATTATTCCTGTGCTCCCTATCAATTCTCTTTTTTCCAGAATTTGAACAATGTTCAGCTTCCTATCTTGGGGAAAAGAAAAAGAACCTCTAAACATTTACTAATTGGCTATTCATACGTTTCCTCCTCGTTTCCATTTCCTAAAAAAACGATAAGCTACCAAAACAGGTCTGAGCTATCCAACCATTTTAATGATTCATGAGATCAGGCCCAGTTCTCTCATAAATGCCTCTTCTCTTGCAACTTGATATGGGAACACTATGGTGTGGTATCACCACATCCAACACACTATGTGTTGAATCACTGAGGCTACCAACGAACAGCAAAAGCATAACGAGAACACTTCCTTCACACCAAACCACACATCTCTGTAGAACGTATGTATCAGTATGAAATATGTTATGAAAACACAGCACTTCTTCACATTTAAAGAAAAAAATCATCTCTGTGCTATTTTCTGACTATATTTACTGCAGTGACCACCATACAAGGTTATCACATAGTTCATGGCTATCACATAGTTCATCACTGACTGAGGAACAGCAGAGATGATCTTTAATGTCATATGTTAGAAAACCAACAGTTAGCTCATACATCTGGCTGCAACTCTTTCTCAACAATCTTTGGCAATGTGCTCCCAAGAATGAAATTAAAAAAGCAAACAAACAAAAAACTCAAGAAAAATTAAACAAAACCAAACAAAAACAAACAAAAAAAAAAAAACACAAACAAAAAACCCCAAACCACACACCCCAACATAACAAACCCCCGAACACCCAAAACCCCTGAAGTGATATGTACTGATATTCTTTGACAGTTCACATGCATCAGAAGATGTCTCTCCAGTAACTTAGTTTTGACAATGTTTTTTTCTTTCATAGTCATAAAGACAAGGCAGTTGTCTATGCTTAAACAAATACTAGAGCAATCCAGAGTGCTTTGTGTTAGAAACAGGGAAGCTTTCTGGATGTAAACACTCAGAAGTGAGTTTTTAAGCCTACAAGAAACACAGACTAGCACTATTCTTAAATGCATGTATTTAAATGTAATACTAGTACATATCTAGAGAACACATTAGGACAGATAAAGGTGACAAATCACAAAAGAGAAATCACAGGGCAAAAAGGCAACTGCACAAAAGTATCTGTGCATACAGAGAGTTTGTTACCAGCCACCAGCCGAGACTGATACTCTCTTGGTCCAATATTCAATTTGTAAAGAAGAAACCCCTTGATCTGGAGAAAAATCTTTTCTGCAAGGCTATGGATAGATTTCCTCCTGGGAAATCCCAAACACCTATTCAACCCTACCTCAACGTCCACCTCGTAACAAACAAAAATATGAGGTGTAATAGTACAGTGACTTATTACAATGTCAGACAGCATAGCCAGGGTAAGAGGTTGCCATTTTATTTTCTTTCCAAGCTACTTGACCCCATCTTCTCAGATGCAACACCACCATCTGGTACATATGCTAAACTAGATCAGTGACAAAAGCATTTAGACCAAATCTCAGAGGGAGGAGAGAGGCATTTCAAATGCAACTGCTAAGGCATAAAGGTTTGTCTGTTCCCACCAAACAAGCCAGCATTTCTCTCAAAGGAACATCAAGAACATATTATAACTTTTATATCTTACATATTGATTTTTTGCCCCTAGAGATTTAAATGGGACTTATAAATATTAATTTAGTCCAACATCCTTACGCAATTACATCACTAACTGGTTTTAAATTTAAAATATGAATCCCAGACTAAATGCAAACTACAGCAGAAAGGTTCTGCCTTGACTCAGGATACTCTAATTAAAAAACTGTCTTTTACACCTCTAACGTTGCAGAAGAACTAAAGAACAAAATCATATTTTATCCTACAACTCAGAATCAAAGCATTCTGAAGAGTACTAGAACCTATACACTGCACAATACAAGTAACATAAAACCACATTTAATGAGATCAAATGTGCAATTTCTAAAAGGCTGCCCAGAGGCTGAATTCTCTACCCTTGGACAAAAAGCAAAGCCCTGCACAACCTGGTCCTGAGGTCATGAGTTGGTCCTTTTTTTGAGGAAGGGCTTGGGACTAGAGAGCTCCCGAGATCATTTCTAACCTGAATTGTCCTCCAGTCTCTCACAACCAAGCCCACCCTGGATTGCCCATTAAAAGTTCTTAGTTGTTATGAACCCTACCTTCTCTACACTCTAGACAATCATTACAACTGAAAAGCTTTCTTTGGCCTGTTTTTCTCAAAAACATTTCCCAAGGGAAAAAACAGGAAAGCGTAAAACATTGAAGATATTTTGACTATCCAAAAGATTTTGACTATCCAAAAGCTTTTGACTTCATGCCATTTGTTAAATGGACAGAACAGCTGTGACAACAGCTGTGTTTTCTTCCAAGTAAATTTCAAAAAGCACACTCAAGTTTTAAGATTACAACAACTGATTTTTTCAGTCAAATGAACAAGAAAGATAGAAAGTCTCTTCCTCTTTTACTAGGCAAAACACAGTCTTGGATCATACTCACCATTTTCATCTCCAGCTGTCTTCCGACCATCCTCTGGGGAAACATGCACCAGCTGCAGAATAAGGGGTCTCCGGGTGACAACTCCAGTACCTCGTGGGAGCAGATCCCTCCCCACAAGACTTTCCAACACAGAACTCTTTCCACTGCTCTGAAAATTGGAATACAGCTACATGATTTTCTTAAACATCAAAATGCTGTAATATTTTAGTTTTAACTTGCTTTCATCACTCCTGCAAACAGTGCTCTATCCTGTCCTCTGCTATCCAGTGCCCAAAGGAGCATGTGATAGACTTGCTGCATCTAAAATAGTGGTATCCCACTGCATAGGCACCAAAGGACAAGTCTGTCTAAACCTACTTAGGATACTTAAAATCTGTGTAGATAATTGCATTTTCTATCTCTCAAGGAGAAATTGCCTTTTTTCTGAAACCTATTACATATTTAATATCCTATTTATCATTTTCTACCCCAAACATTAATCTCTCCAGAAACTTCTTTGGAAAAGAGAAAACAAATTGTTTATAATGCTCAGAAGGAAATTCTATGTCTTCTACTATGTCATTTTTTAACATCTTGCAGTAGCACTTCACTGTGTATACTACAGAATTTAACCTCCTGTTAGTATTAACACATGCTGACCATGTTAATACAAACAGGAGGATTATACAAAAGCCACGTACACTTGAGCACATTAAACTACCACAATCTTATGCTCCTTTTGGTTTGGCTTTTTTCTTCTCTTTATTTTTTATAATAGACCAGCTTCATTAGCACAGACATTGTTTTATATTCTAAATATACAAACAAGCATTGTTTTATGCTGTCTCTCTCTGTGTATATAACAAGTACTACAACTGAACTGACTGCAAACATCTGTCTATAGCTTAACAAGCTATAAGAAGTTACAAATTCACTTTCAGAGTCTACATTTAAAATGTTCTCCTGTAGCACTTGTTTAAAATGCAGAATTAGGCTACATGGTACAATAAGCAACTGTGAATATATGGGTTTCAGGAGTTATTCAAGAATACTACCATGTTAAAACTAACAACAAACAACAGACCCATACATGTTAGCATAACTTGAAAGTCTGACCAATAAGATAGTGTTCTTAATAGAACTCCATTAAGCTCTTCCAGCTTTCTGTAGCTGCAAAGTCAACACAGACATGCTATGACAATCATTGGCTTCAGCTAGGAAGTGCTTCCATATTATTGCTACTACCAAACAATTATCTTAAAAGGAAAAAATCAACAGCTGCTTCTGACAGTTGGAATGCACATTACTGCTACACAACCTCAACTCAGCTTACCAGTTCTGAAAGAACAGATTTGAGACTTCAAGTCAGTCATAAAGTGGGTACATAACCTAGCATAACATGAAATATTAAAATCATTAAAATATCATTTAAACATCATACACTTAGTGACATCTTAGGTGACTTCTCCAGAAATGGAGAACAGATCTGCAGAGATCAAACAACACAGCACTGTCAGACAATGCATTTCTGCTTGTGCAGTAAGACAAGACAGGATTTCACTACATGAGAGCATTAGAACTTATTAAAATAGGACTTGTATTTTAATATTTCATGCTTCTGCATACAAGGCCAAACACCTAGAAAGCTTGAACACCACCACACAAACACTAAAGTGTTAGGAGAAAAGGTGTTCAACTATGCTTTATGGCACAGAAAAATGCTGTTTAATCAATGTCATTGTCTCAATAGATAAGTAACAAACCACAGCAGATCATGTACGTTTTCCCGAGTAAGCTAGGTCAAATTCAAGAGCACTGAGGACAACTGTCTAGAAAAAATAAGGTCAGAGGAAAGAGCAGGACAACCTTATTAAGATTTTTTCCTTCAAAAAAGTCCCCTAGAAAGTAACAAATCGTCTTCTTCAACTGAACTTCTTCAATCAATGTTGGGCACCTTCCATGCAAGGAGCTTATGGCAGGACATCAGGCACTGAAATCTTACCAAAGAGTAACTGAAGACAACCTGGTTAAAGAACTAGCTCTGAAAGCCCCACCCCAAGAGAGCTTCCATTGTAGCACACTGCTGAAGAATTACTGATACTATAGAATGTGAAAAAAACAAACTACAGTTATGAACAACAAACCACTTCTTAGCAAACTTCATAATATAAAACAAGTGACATGCCTGCTCAAAAAGATGCTATGTGATAAAGGTTCTTCAGATGCATCAGGGAAAAAAACACCAACAATAAAACCATCAGGATTTCATTTATTAAAAACATTTTTAACATCTTCTGAGCAAGATTTCTTACACATAGGTAGAACAATCAGTCTCAAAGGACTGGAGGTGAGACAAAGTAGCTTCTCCTGAACATATAAAGCAAGCTTCTCCTGAACTTATAATGCAAGTCGAGACAGGACAGCAATAAACAGCTGCAGTCCTTAGCAAGAACCTTACCAAGACAGGAAACCAAAATCCATGGGACAAGTTGCTACACAATACTGCACCTTGTTTGGGCTTTCCTAAAGAGTGGTACTGTAGGAAGCTGATATGGGCACAATCAAAGTATGTATGGAACTAAAATACTATGTCTTACACCACTCCCACAGTTACCTTTGGATGTGGAAGGAAAAGTCTGGATCCTTTGCAAATGCAAAGTCATACATCAGATGAGACACTACAGTACTCCACACATCAGGAAATTTGTTTCAAATTGCATTATGTTCCCTTATTAGAGCAATCTGTTCTTGGAACGTAATACAGTATCTCATGACACACTCCTTACTCTGGACCCCATCCACATCCATTACCAAGAATTATCTGGGAACATGGTAAGGAAAGCAGTAAACACAAAGCTGATCTTTTTCTGCCAGTAGAGGGAAGTGATGGATACGGGTGTGTTCAGAACACAAATGCAGTTCAGCCAGTCCTTCATACAACAGATGGAGATAGAGACTAATACCGATGGCCAACAGCATCACGGTTGTTTTGACATTGAATGCTTGTCATGATTTTAAGCACAAACTGAAATCCATAAACTCATTTCATGACAAGTCCAGAATACCATTAATAAATTGCAACATTTTGTGTCAGGTAGCCAGGTTTAATTCTGGACTCCAATATCTGATCCTAATTTGAAATATCTATAACCTGCAGTACCTAGAACAATTTAATGTAGATTGCTCAGAAGAAAACGGGCATATACAGGAACATCTTGCTGTCTTTTGCTTCTTTAGCCACAGTGTCAAACTTCCATTGCTGAGTGTTTACCACTCTGCTCTGTTAACCATCATCAGTCTTACAGATAAGCACCTGAGCTTTACAAATGGTAAAACCATTTTTTCCAGAAGTACTAAGATAAGAAAAGGTGATGCACACAGGAGGGACTTGGGTATTTTATTTCAGTACACACTAGCAGTATATATGTTTTAAATCTTGTCAGCTTTCTCACTCCCTCCTTATATTTACATTACTGTCCACATCATCTTCAAGTTATTCTAAAACAATCAAGGATGAAGAGCAGAGTAACAGGGTAACAACAGCACTTACTCACAAATTAAAGAGGTGAAATCTGTAAGAACTGTGATCCAATCCAAAAAGCCATCATCTATACTGTTTAACAGTCGTAATAAACTTGTTTCTGGTGCCCTATTCTTAATTTCTTCTTTATCTGCCCTTGCATATTTCAACTGTGTGTGCTTCTTAAGTATTAACAGGTGTTTGCTCTCATCTATTACACTAATTCTTATGAGAAAATTTCATTTGCAACCTGCTGTATCACCACATTTTTCAGGAATTCAGAAGCAGCAAACAGCAGTGCATGATTTTATAATTGTCCAGCTTTATTAGAGATTTAACTTTGAAAAACACTTCAGGGTTGTTGACAAGCCAAATGTAAGAGATTCTGTATTGAAAAAAACTTGAAGTAACACTATGAACAAGTATTTACACTCATCCCAAACATTTACTTCATTGGCTTCCTTATTCTTTTTCCAAGTCCTCATTAGTATTCCTAATGTTTGGAAGACCTGCACTGTACACCCAACAGCATGCAGAGATGCTTTCTCCATACTCAATAGAGAACCCTGACCAAATCCTCTTCCACTATTGAGAGTTACCCTCCACTTTGTGCCCTGTCCATAGGTACAAGGGCCTAGAAGACCCTGCTGGTGAAGGAAGACCAAGGCAAAGAAAGCACCAAGTGCCTCAGCCTTGTCCATATTCTCTGTCACTAAATCACCTGTTAGTCAGCAGCAAGCCCATATTTACCTCGTTTCTATTTTTTCTTCAACCACTGATGCAGTGCTGGAAGTTGTTCTTGTTGCCTTTGACCTTCTTCACCAGTTTGAACTCTAGTGGAATGCTAGCTTTCCTAATTCCACCTCTGCATATGCAGACAGTCTTTCTACATCGAGTGAGCTTGTCCTTACTTCTACCTCCTGTGCAAGTCTTCTGTGTTGACACGCAGTCATGAGTTCCCTCCACGCTGCTCTTCTCTCACGTCTAATCATTTTCCTGAGCATTTGTATGGATTGCTGTCCTGTGCTCCAATGAGGTTATCCTCAAAGGCATGCCAGGTTTCCTGAAGCTTCAATGTTCTGTAACTCACTGGATCCCACCAATGAACTCAGTACATAAGCCAAAGCCTGCTCTTATTCTTAGGAAGTCCATGCAGCAAGAACACAATAAACATAACACTCACCTGGAGTCTCACTGATGTACAAGAACAGTGAGGGTTTGGTGTTTTTTTTTTTAAAGTAATTTGCTCAGATTGTTGATTGTTGCATATTTCAAGTGTTATTAAAATTATAATGACTTGTATGAGCTGCAACAAATTTCAAATCATCTTTCAAGAACCTGCTGCCTTCTGTCTATCTTTTGAATACATAATCATTTTGTGGAACCAATGTAAAATAAATAAGCTGTGGAAAAAAGCCATGATAAGGAAACATGTCCAATGAACTACTGGTGAAACTCCAAAGGTATTCAAACTTTGTTCATTGCTGTAATGGTTTGAAAACAAACCAGGGCGAGACTCCAAGTCAGAAATACAATTTAATAAGAAAAAAAAAATAAAAGCAATAATACAAAGGAAAACCACAAACAGAGTCAGAATACAACCTGATACTCTGTAGTTAGGGTGGTGGTAGCAGTCCAGATGAAACAGT